AACTGGGGTCTGTGGGACTTCAGGTCTATTGGGACTTGGGGTCTGTGGGACTAGGTCTGTGGGACTGGGGTCTGTGGGACTGGGTGTGGGACTGGGGTCTGTGGGACTGGGGTCTGTGGGACTGGGGTCTGTGGGACTCGGGTCTATTGGGACTGGGGTCCTATTAGGGACTGGGGTCCTATTAGGACTGGGGTCTGTGGGACTACAGGGTCTATTGGGACTGGGGTCTGTGGGACTGGGGTCTATTAGGACTGGGGTCTGTGGGACTGGGGTCTAATGGGACTGGGGTCTATTGGGACTGGGGTCCTGTGTGGGACTGGGGTCTGTGGGACTGGGGGTCTATTAGGACTGGGGTCTGTGGGACTGGGGTCTAATGGGACTGGGGTCTGTTGGGACTGGGAATATAATGGGACTGGGGTCTATTGGGACTGGGGGTCTGTGGGACTGGGGTCTATTGGGACTGGGGTCTATTGGGACTGGGGTCCTATTGGGACTGGGGTCTGTGGGACTAGGGTCTAGTGGGACTGGGGTCTGTGGGACTGGGGTCTATTGGGACTGGGGTCCTATTGGGACTGGGGTCTGTGGGACTGGGGTCTATTAGGACTGGGGTCTATTAGGACTGGGGTCTATTAGGACTGGGGTCTATTAGGACTGGGGTCTATTAGGACTGGGGTCTATTAGAACTGGGGCCCATTTGACCTGCTAACACTTACCCATTAACCACTCCCCCCTCTTGTGGTTTAGTCAAATGTACTCTGATTCCAGGTTATGATACGGCTCAAAAAGTGTTATGTTTTCTAAATCCGGATCATGAAATGGATATGTGTGTGTGTGGGAGGAGGGGGGAGGAGGAGGAAGAGGAGAGGAAGAGGAGAGGGGAGGAGGAAGAGGAGAGGGGGAGAGGATCACCCTGTTTTAACTTGGATGGTTGAGTCCAAGGTTCATCGCGCACTTGGCAACATTGTCGTTCTTTCCTCGCACATTTTAATTCCTGCCAAAGTTTATGTATTGATCACTTTTCTTGGTCATATTTTTTAGTTATTAGTGTTATTATTATTATTATTATTATTATTATTATTATTATTATTATTATTATTATTATTACTATTATTATTTTTATTATTATTATTATTATTATTATTATTATTATTATTATTATTATTATTATTATTATTATTATTATTATTATTAGTAGTAGTAGTAGTAGTAGTAGTTAAAAAATAAGACGGTTACTTTTGTATTATTAAGTAAACACAAAACAGCAATAGTGTTTTATGTATCCAGAGAGAGAGTTATTTACCTGCGATACTGAAACCTCAGTCATATATATATATATCGTCAACTTGTGTATGGGTTCCGAAATTAAAATAAATTTCAAAGGTTTACGTGTATCGGACTTGTTGCTCTCTCTCTCTCTCTCTCTCTCTCTCTCTCTCTTTTCCTTACTTCTCTCTCTCGATTCTCTATCTGTCTGTCTGTCTGTCTGTCTGTCTGAATATGTTAATCAGTACCTCACAGGTCATTGAACGCACACATTGGGCTGACTAATGCAACCAAATTCTTACACACAGATTAAAATATGTAGGTATTAGAGAGTCTTTAAGAATGCTTGTGTAGTGTTTCTTGTCTTGTGTTTCTTGTCTTGCATTGTGTTGTTGCATTGTGTTGTTGTGTTGCATATTTTAACCTTTAGTCATACACGAGTTGCGATTTTGTGTATGTGTGTACTGTATGTGTGAATATGTATGTGTATATATGTGTATGTATATGTGTATGTATATTAGCATGTAGATATGTGTGTGTAGGAAATTCTCCACACATAATTATTTTGTCTCAGTACAACACGACACAACACGACACAACACGACACGACACAACACGACACAACACGACACAACACAACACAACACAACACAACACAACACGACACAACACAACACAACTGCTTCTTACGACACAACACAACACAACACAACCACGACACGACACGACACAACACAACACGACACAACACAACACAACACAACACAACACGACACAACACAACAACACGACACAACACAACACAACTTTACAACACGACACAACACAACACAACACAACACGACACGACACGACACAACACGACACGACACAACACAACAACACGACACAACACAACACGACGACACAACACAACACAACACAACACAAAGGGACACGACACAACACAACACAACCACAACACAACGACACAACCTAGCCACAACACGACACAACACAACACAACACGACACGACACGACACGACACAACACGACACAACACAGCACAACACGACACAACACAACACGACACAACACAACACAACACGACACGACACAACACAACACGACACAACACAACACAACCTGTACAACACAACACAACACAACACGACACGACACGACACGACACAACACGACACAACACAACACAACACAACACAACACAACACGACGACTGAATCTTAACCACACTCTCATGATGAATTACAATGCATAACAGTGAATAACGCTGAAGAATGTAAATTTCATGTATAATTTGGCAGCAAGAACCAGCCAAGGCACTCGAGATATTTACATTCCTTCGAGTGATTGTACACAAGCAGTTTATTCTCTGGGTAGGACAGGTGGGCAGTTTATTCTCTGGGCAGGACAGGTGAGCAGTTTATTTTCTGGGCAGGACAGGTAAAGCAGTTTATTCTCTGGGCAGGACAGGTGAGCAGTTTATTCTCTGGGGAGGACAGGTGAGCAGTTTATTCTCTGGGCAGGACAGGTGAGCAGTTTATTTTCTGGGGAGGACAGGTGAGCAGTTTATTCTCTGGGGAGGACAGGTGAGCAGTTTATTTTCTGGGGAGGACAGGTGAGCTGGACAGGTAAAGCAGTTTATTCTCTGGGCAGGACAGGAAAGTAATTTATTTTAACGAGCTGTAGCTGTAGACAGGCTGTAGGTTTATTTCATTAGAGACTTGAATTTAATCTGTGGAAAAAAATATTGTATTGTGTTGTATGTTTATGTGTATGTATTGTATTTGTATTATGTTATGTGTGTTATATTATGTTATATTGTATTATTATATTATGTGTATTATGTTATATTATGTTATATTATGTGTATTATATTATATTGTATTATATTATGTTATATTATGTTATATTATGTTATATTATATTATATTATGTTATATTATGTTATATTATGTTAATATTATCATTATATTCAACGAAGTTATTTGCTTAGTAAAAGTAATTGATTTCATAAAAAGAGTGATTTATTCTGAGTATTTGTGTCGTGTGATTTCCTTATACTTGTTTAAAAGTTATTTGTGTATGTCTGTCTGTTTAGCTATTTTGTTTGTGTTTGTTTATAACTTATAGACAACAGTGTATTCTATCTCTCTCTCTCTCTCTCTCTCTCTCTCTCTCTCTCTCTCCCCTCCCTCTCTCCTCTCTCTCCTCCCTCATCGATCTCTTTTCCTCCTCCTCTCATCAACTCAGTACCTACTATAACCCCCCCCTCCCCTCCTCTTCCCCCCTCCCTCCCCTCCCCTCCCCCTCCCCCCTCACCTCCCCTGAAGCGCCTATAATCACCCCTCCCACTAAAACTCAACCTTGAGTGGGTACGGTGAGTAGTGGGCAAGGACCAATCAGCTCACGTCATGCCCGCAGAAGAGTGGGTTTTATATTTTATTCCTATTACAGTAGAAATACATAATATTAATTAAACTTATATAAGATTACATATATACAGGTTACAGTTACAGGCACAGTTACGTGTATAAGTGTAAATTTTCCTCTGATAAAAACAATGAAAATCTATAGACACCATGATAAATGTATAAACGCCATAAAACAACATCAACCAGTAATAACAAAAGAGGTTCAGTGGAGAGTGTTAAGAAGCCACACCGGGGGAATCGAATCCTCTTGCCAAGTTTTTAATCCTCCTCTGGCTTGGTATCTACCCGGTGGAGCTGAGGTCTCTGATTGGTTCCCTTAGGCGGAGGTAAAAGATGATTGGCTGAGTGGGTTTGGGGGTTCTGGAATGTGATTGGTTAAGTGGTTTCGGGGAATGGAAGGTGATTGGATTATTCGTAAGGCATCTTTTGGTGTATGATTTTGTGTTTGGTTGTTTATCTGTGAAATATCTATCGATCTAGCTATCTATCTGTCTGTCTGTCTGTCTGTCTGTTTGTCTGCCTGTCTGCCTGTCTGCCTGTCTGTTTTCAAGTCAACAAGATTAGCGCCGCCTTGTCTGTGGGTCTAACATCATCGGGAACATTGAAGTCTTCCCTCACCTCCACTTTACTCTACGAATGAAGTTCAAAACGAAGCTTAATGAACAAAAACTGAACTAATCCTTAAAATTGAACACTATTGAACTAAAGGAGGTAATTTGTTCACATATATTAAGGTGAAGAACATGTATAATTGTTCATTGTTCATCAGTTCACGTGAAGAACAATTGTAAAATATAATTAAAGTTGAAAGACATTTGAAAACTTACGCTAAGAGTCGTAACAACGCTAATAGATCAGCTAACTACTTAATTACCCTATTCACCTGTTGTAACTACCATCAACACTTCCACCGGATGTGTCTCTTAGGTCCAGTTACACCTTCCTGCTCAGTAACGGGCGTGACACGGACAGACACACACACACACTGTTACATACATACATACATACATACATACATACATTCTCTCTCTCTCTCTCTCTCATACACACACACACACACCAAAGGTACTCTCTCTGAACGTGTGTAAATCGTGGAAAGTGAAATAGCAATGGTTTATTTAGCCTGAATAATACTGTTACAAAGTGAACAGCCAAGGTAATTTGTTTTTTATTATTGATTACGTCTATCAGCTGACTTCTGTTATTGTTTACATACATCAGCTGATCTTTCATTGTTTACATCCATCAGCTGACTTCTGTTATTGTTTACATCCATCAGCTGACACCCTCCTTATTTACAGATCACTGACGGCCGGATACTACAGAGGCACATCCGGATGTTTTGATTTACGTTTCTGGGGAGACACGTCATAATCAAACGTCATCATGTCGCATAAATACGTCTCGAACAAGGCCGTCATGAAGAACCAGGGTAAGACCTTTAAATCAGCCCTAAGATGACCTAAAATGACCTAAAATTAACTAAAAGTACCTAAAATTAGCTAAAATTACTTAAAATTGTCTGACCTAAAATAGAATTGAATCCTTTCCATATAGCAAGATCAAAAATGACCTAAAATTACCCAAAATTGTGTAACCTAGAATGGAAGACAATTTTTTTTGTAATAACCTTTAAATTAACCCAAGAATGATTTAAAATTACCTAAAATTCTCTGACCTAAAATAAAATTGAATCCTTTCCATGTAACAAATAGGGTAAAACCTTTAAGTTGGTCTTTAAATCCCTAAAATGTAATTCTTTGATCAGGGTTTTTAGGTTCGGTATTATCTTTTAAGGAAGTCTTTAAAACGATCCTTAACTCCTTAAATGTAATGGATCCCCAAAATGTAATGTTAAGATAAGGACCTTAAAATGACCCCTAAGGACCTAAAATGAAATGGCTCCCTTAAAATGTATTACCAAGCACAGGTTTTAAGTTTAGGTATTACTTTTAGGGAAGATTTTTGAGTTAAGGGTTCTTCTTCTTCTTCTTCTTCTTCTTCTTCTTCTTCTTCTTCTTCTTCTTCCTATTTCTGGTTCTTATTCTTCTTTATTCTCCTTCCCTCCTCCTTATGTTGGTCTTCTTCTTGTTCTTCCTCCTCCTTCTCCTTATTCTTCTTCTCCTCTTCCTCCCTCTTTTTCTTCTTCTTCCTCTTCTTTTTTCCTTATACATATCTGATACTCTCTATATTTATCTCTCTCTCTCCTACCTCTCTCTCTCTCTCTCTCTCTCTCTCTCTTTCTCTCTCTCTCTCTCTCTCTCCTTGTGTTTTACGTTCTTCCTCCTTCCCTTCCTCCATTTCCTCTTATCCCCTCTCTCTCCTTTCTCTCCTTTCCCTCTTCCTCTTTCTCTCCTTCTCTCTTTTTACCTTCATCTATCTCTCTCTGTTTCTCTTTATCTTACCTCTCTGTCTCTTCCTCCTCCCAATACATAGCAATAAACACCTGAGGTAAGGGAGGGGCGTCATAGCCACCTAAATCCAGGATTCTCTTGTCCATAGTAAAAACTTATGTATCAATGATGTCAGTGATGTCAGAACGTATCTAGCTGGTGAGAGTAGGAATGAATTTTAGTCTTGATGTCAGTGATGTCGTTAATATTTAAAATGGTAGAGGTAAGAATGAATTTAAATCGTGATGTCAGTGATGTCAGGACGTATCTAGCTGGTGAGGGTAAGAATAAATTTAAATCGTGATGTCAGTGATGTCAAAACGTATCTAACTGACTCACATTTGCTACGATAATCTGACGGATTCTCATAGTTCCTCAAGGTAAAAATCTCTTCCTTTATCATGTGAAAATGAACGTATCTGACTGACTCACCTTAATAAATAGGTAAGGGGAGACAAGGAATTTACCTGTACGATTTTTTGAAAGTCCGGAACCAGAAAAGTGAGGTGTGTGTGTGTGTGTGTGTGTGTGTGTGTGTGTGTGTGTGTGTGACGCAATAATTAAAAATGAAGCAAATAATGACGCAATACTTTTTTTACTTATTAATCCCAGTCAATAAAATAATAAGGTATACAGTTATTATTTTATCTTTAATTGTAATAAAAAAAAACAATAACCAAACCGAACCCACTATATCACTTCCTACTTTCCAGGGTTCTTGGACAAGCTGGGTTCGACGCTCATGTCCCGATCGAACCCGAACCCGATGACTGAGGTTAAGACCCAATCAAGCATTACCTGGCATAAGACCTCAGACGTGAAGGCTCGCATCAAGACTGCTACAGGGACTATCGCTATCTACGAGGATATGAGCCCGGAGGAGATAGCCGAACTGCAAGAACAGGCGACTATGGCGGCAGGAGGAACCGCACCCGAGCTCTCTGGTGCCGCAGCTACCGCAGTACAGACAGCAGCCATCGCCGCAGGAATTGGCGTGAGTAGAAATAGAAAGAAAATGACTGAGAAAAGATAGACAGAGAGAGAGAGAGAAAAGAGAGAAAGGAAGAACCAGCACGTGTTATTCCCTCTCTCTTTCTCTCTCTCTCTTTCTTTTTGTGTTTTTGTGGTTAATGTCTCTTAGTGGTTAAAGGGAAGAGAAGTTACGGATCACTTCCTGTTAATAATGTTTCTATTGAGGTTTAATAGGTTAGTGGGTAATGTAAATAGGTCAATTGTCCTTAAAATGGGTCAGGGGATTTGGTTATTAACTAATGGAATTGGTTATTGGTCCGTGAAATAAGTTCGTGGTTAATGAGAATTGGTTAGTGGTATATGAAATAGGTGAATGGTTAGTTAAATAGGCACAGGAAAATGGGCACAGGAAAATGGGCACAGCCACAAAAATAATGGTCAAATATTTTATCATATTCGTGGATTTTGAAATAGGTTGGTGTACTCAGTAAATATGGATTTTTTTCGTATACTGATTGGTTGAATGAAATATGAACCTTTACATCTCATCCTCTGATTGGTTGAATGAAATAGGAATCCGTACATCTCCTCCTCTGATTGGTAGAATGATATAGGAACCATTACGTCTCATCCTCTGATTGGTTGAATGGAATAGGAATCCGTACATCTTATCCTCTTACTGGTTGGCCGAAATGCATATAAAATTTTCCTCACAGCTGGAAGAAAAATATGTTTGTAATAATAACTAAAAATAACATCAGAATTACCCTTAGACTCCACCTTAACTAGATACCTTCATTTAGCACCAGTTAGGAGACAAAATTAACACTGATACTCCTTACTGACTGACTGATAACTTGTTTACTACACGAGCGAGTTCTCTTTATCCAAATACGACTCAATGCAATATTCTCTGTCTTGTGTACAGCTAATCCAAAAAGCATCGAGACCCTAATCGTCCGAAATAATATGAAACATCGAACGAAAACCAACACAACCCAACCTAACTGATGCATGAATGTGTCTAAGGTTATCGTTCGTTTTGTATTCCATCGCTCCCACGGGGTAGAGATACTTTTTTGGATTGGCTATACTATCCAACCAGACCAGGAGCTCATTAATGCATTTTATGGTCACTCCTTTGTGCATCGCTCGTGTGTGTTGTATAAATGATTCAAGAGGTTGTTGGGGAGTTAAGTTGTTGGGTAGTTAAGTTGTTGGGTAGTTAAGTTGTTGGGTAGTTAAGTTGTTGGGTAGTTAAGTTGTTGGGTAGTTAAGATGATGTATTCCTGTGAGAGACTGTATGCAGGTCCATCTGTCCTGTAAACAAAACAGCATCACATTACAGGTTATCTCATATCTCTGTACTTACATATGACTCTAAGTTAGGTTAGGTTAAGGGTTAAGTTTGGTTAAATGAGGTTAAGGATATGTTTTTTTATGTCAAGTTAGGGATGTGTTGGATTATGTTTGGTCAAGTGAGGTCAGGGTTAGGTCAGATTAGGTTAGAATAGGTCAAACTCCAGGTTGTGATCCGGAACTAACTCCTTCCTTTTTTACAGCGATTAGTATCTACATGACCAACTCACCTCAGATCAACAACAACAACAAACAATAAACAAAACATAATAAAAATATTACCCCATTTTAGTTACAAGACACTTTACGTTAATCCCTTTAAAAACAGTTGTAGTTTTTTCCTGTGATAAACCAATTGATGGATTTACTCTTATAAACAAAAATAATAAGAAAATAAACAGTCCTGAGGTATGATGGTCACGTGATATTGTCTTCAGTTGTTTATGTCCAGTTGTTTGAGTTGTGTTTGCATGACTTTTTCTTGAAGCAAATTGTCTTCATTATCATCAACTGTCAACAACTCTCAGTCTGTCGGGTAAGTCAACTGTTTTATTTTTAATTTTTTTACAGGAATAAGAATGTATACTTTGTCCGTATGTATATCTCGTTAATATATATCTACTTTACTTATGTATTCGTATGTATATTGGTGTATTTCGTTATAGTATCGTAATATATCAACATAAACTTCGCTACTCATAAAGGTAAGGAAGAAAAAATCGAATTCTTTTGTTAATCTGAATTTTCGTATTACCGTCACGTATGTATTAGTGGTTTATGAATAACACTGTGAAGTATACATATTTCAGAATACATTTATACCTATGACTACGTGTATTATAACCAAACGAGTGACTGAATTACCTAAGTATATTTAACTATGGGTGAGAGGTCTTAATGTTGTTGTTATTTTAAGGACAAGTAGAGGAAAAATATACAATTAGTCAAATGAGAAACAACCACCTTTGTCAAATGAGAAATTAAACTATCCATCAGTGTATCTTGTAACTACCATAACTTACTCCAGTAATTCATTATTCCTTTAAAACTATTTGTGTTACATAAGGAGCTGTGGGATGAGGTAAACAATATGTATTTTTATTATATTTTACGAGAGTTTGAAGCCATATTGTTTCAGCAACTGCAAATTGAGTTGGTATGGTGGGGGGTGGCTTTTACTCTATATATCACCTGGGTTAGTAACTGGCTTAATATTTGTGATATATAAGACTACCATAGATATTTTTATATGATTTTATATATGAATACAAATATTTGACAATTATTTACAGAGAGAGAAAAGTTTTAGATAATTACCAGACTAATGGACGATACAACTCACCTGAATTAATTAACCCTTTGACGTCTTCAGGTGCTTCACTAGCCAAGGTTCTCTGATCAGACTCTGTTTATTAAGTCATAATGATCGAATTTACTGTTGTTACCTGTTAAGACTTATTGGTCGTGTTTACTGTTACCTGTTAAGACTTATTGGTCGTGTTTACTGTTACCTGTTAAGACTTATTGGTCGTGTTTACCGTTACCTGTTAAGACTTATTGGTCGTGTTCACTGTTACCTGTTAAGCCTTATCAATAGAGCACCTCCATCCCTGTACCCTCAGCTGTAAAGAATGACGGTGGGTAGCGAACCTGTGTACTCGAGAAAAATATTTATCAATGTAGACTTATTTACAAACTCCATCTTCCTAAGTAATGAAGGAATGGCAACTCATCACTTAAGTATTGTCTATGTTAGTAAAAGATGTCACTTATAAGATTAAAAGTAGTGAATGAAGGTAAAACTCATCAATTATATGACGAAAAGACGATTAATCCTCCCCAGAAAGATGACGAAAATGTTACCAATTCTTCCTATGTTTTCGTCTTTCGTCTCTGTGCCCTCAGTTTTTCCTCGGCGCCGGGTGGGCTGGTGGGTTGGTGGGTAGGTGGGCTGGTGGACTGGTGGGTGGGTAGGTGGGTAGGTGAGCGGGAATTCGACAATATAGCCAACGGTACAGGTTGACATTGACGAATTGGATTGTAGATATTACCCAGAATTCCCAATAGCGAAACACATCAATATACTCCCTGATATTAGTTGAAATTGACGAATTGTGGAGTTGAAATCAGGTCTTCACTTGTCAATTAACCATTAATCAACTCTTTCTTAAAAATCTTGTGAGTCACGTCCTGGTTGACTGTCAATTGGGGTCCTGTCATCAATTTTTAGCCTCAGAAATGTGTTGATAGAGTTGATGAATTGAGATTGAATAATGTTATGGCTTATTCCATGTATTTGTTAATTTCTCTTCAATTTTTTTTTTAGTTTTTAATGAAATGTTCGTCAGTTTTTTCTTTCTATTCATTAATTTTGTCGATTTCATGTGTTATTGTTTTTCTTCTTCTTCTTTTTTGTTTATTTGAAGGATAGGAAGGAAGGAAGGAAGGGAGAGGGAGAGGAGTGAGAGAGACAAATCCCTGGTGAGTAACGATCATCATTTCCTGTAGAAGTCTGACCAGGTGGAGTTGTTTAAGGAGAGTTTCTGAGACTGTCTTTCCTATGGCTTTGGTACGTAGGAGGGTGAAGGAGTAGGAGGAGGAGGAGTAGGTGATTAAGGAAGAGGAAGATGAGGAGGAGGAGGGGTTGGTGACAGGAGGAGAAAAAGGATGAGAGGAGGGGAAGATTGATGGGGACGAGGAAGGAGGAGGAAAGGAGATTGAGGAGAGGAAAGAAAGGAAAGGAGGGGGGAAGGATATGGAGGAAGATATTGGTAGAGAGAATATGTACCTTACAATTCTTACTAAAGGTGACTATTTAAATCCATATATAATCGTTCGCCCAGTTATTCAAGCACCCACACCACACCCCACACCTACCCCCACACACACCTGCACCCCACACACCTACCCCCACCACACCTACCCACACACCCCCACACCCCCACCCCACCCCACCTGCACCCCCACACCCACCCCCACACACACTCCCCCACACACACACACACCTGTAGTCATGCCTATAGTGTATGTTATCCTGCCTAATAACCAGTGACACACACACACACACACACACACACACACACACACACACACTATACACCTCTTTTGTCTGACTCACCTACTGACTCGAGCACTGACGGAGAAAATAATATACAGAGATGGATGGGGGAGGGGGCAAATACAGCGTGGGGGGAGGGGGATGGGGGACAAACAGAGTGGGGGGGGGGCGGGTGGAGGGTATCATATATCACAGGCGGAGGTGAGGTATGAGTTTCTATACTCAGTCCATAAATTAAATAGTTTTGGCCACTATGAATAATGGTGTTGAAGAGTGTCGGTCGCTCCTCGTGCCTGGGCGAGGGATGAAGCCCACCATCTGGTATTGAAGTAACCCTCCCTCACCCACCCACCCACCCACCCACCCACCTACAGAGAGGGAAAGAGAAAGAGAGTCCAAAACACTTCGAGGACACCAGCTCTGTAAAAGACATATTAGCCATATGCCTTAATCTAGCACTAACACAACAATGCACTTTAGAGAGAAGCCATCTGTAAGTCCTTAAGCTCACTACAGCTACTTTATAAGCATTTAACAGTTTGGTAGTATACTTAAATGGTGTATATTTGAGGTATATTGAAATCTTTTAAGTGTGTGTGTGAAGT